GCATTAATGACCCTTCCCATGACTAGCCTCATTCATAGGGCCAGTAGTAACAATCTATTTTTTCTCCTAGCAACTTGCCTTCTCAGTTTGCTCATGAAACAGATGTCTGAGGTCTCCAGAATGGCAGTAAACCAGATGCCTCTCCAGCCACACCTCCAGCTGAGCTTGAGCCCACCAACTCTCAACACTCTCCTCCCCTACATCATCCCATACCCACAGAAAGTAGCCCAAAGAGTCTGGGATGTTTGGGTGGAAGTGTCACCCAAGGCCTTGGCATTCATATATTCAAAGAGTCTGGAATGTTTAGATTAAGGCTTTAACCCAGCTCCTGGCATCCATATATCCAGAATCTGGAATGCTTGCATGGAAGTTCCATCCCAAGCCCCCTCCCTTGGGAGTTGCCTCAGTCCTGACTCCACCTCTGAGAAAACCTGCCAAATGGTGTCTGAAATGGTCTGTCCTGTCCCTTTAAGAGACAAGCCCCACCCACTTCCTCCCGCCCCCATCTCTCTGTTTCTCTTTCTCTGTTTCTCTCTCTCTCCTCTTCCCCCTTCCCCCCTTTCCCCTTCTCCTCTATAACCAACTAAATAAATACCTACTTTCTCTGCATGGCATGCCTATCCATCTCTCTCACTCCCTGCGTGGGACCTGCTGGCTCTCGTTGCCCGAGGGCCACTAGGGGAACCACAGCATTTTACCACTGCAGCTCCTTGTGGCCTGCTGCCTGCTGTAGTCACTTGGGGAACAGCGCCGTTTTATTTTTACCATAACACTGACCCCTCCCCAGAGATGCTCAAGACCACTCCTACAAGGTATTTAAACTGTCCCCCAGAGAACAAATGTGGTTTTCCAGTGTTCCTTCCCTGTTCCTCCTGGGGAGCTGGAATGTCACTTGGGAGCACTGGTATCCAATAAACCTGGGCTTTTTCTAATTTGGTTTGATTTGATCTGATTCAGATTATTATGTTGGTGGAGAGGTTTATCGGGGTGTAAAAACTTTACTAACCTAGTGTGGAAGGTTCTGGAAGTCACTCTCTGCTTTCATCCAGATATGTTACCTAAATACTGTTTAAGGGGGTGGTTCTCAAGTAAAGAATGCATTTCCTGGCAGGTAAGTCATGTGGGTTACTGGGTGTCCCAGAGTCCCAAATTTGGCAGGTCTCAGTAATGCCCAACCATTTACATCCTGACATGTTTTGAATAAAGGTCGCCTGGGCCTGCCCACATCAGAGCCCTGCTTTCAGGAGACTCACCTGCCTCTTTTGAGCTTCCTGTGTGGGGCCTATAACCTGAATAGAGCACATGACAGTCACAGAGTCTTGAAACCTGAGAAGGCTGGAACAAACTTTTCTGTGCAGGTCATATAACCAAAAGGACACAGCCCTAAAGGAGGACCCTGGAGGACATCTCAAAGCTTTTGGGGAGAGACTGACAGTGAAACTCTAACAAAAGTCACAAAGAGAGGACGAGGAAGCCGATTCCTGAGCCTTGTGTATTTTCCTCTTTGCCTAGTATGTTTTTAGCAGCTGCAGCAGCTTAAGTATCTGAAGTCCCTCTGATAAAATGACAGCACCAGGAGCCCACCCTGGCAAATCAACTAGAATCTCTCTGTATGTTGGGAGATGTCATGCAACTCTCTCCCTGAAATTGAAACATTCTCTCCAGAAAGGGGCAGAGGTTCTTACAACCGAGGAAGCCAATGAAACCCACAAGGCTCAGAAAACTCTGAAACTTACAGGACTCACAAGCCTCTTCCCAAAGGTCTAGAGTAGCAAGCAGCTGCTGGGGAGAGGAGATTCTCCAATGGAACAGCCTTCAAGTTGTGCTCCAGGCATGTACTTTTCGGGAGTCCTCATCCATAGAAAGATGGGCTTTTTAGTGATGTAGCCACCTTTGCCTCACTCATGTTCCTGTAAGTAACTCCAATAAACTCACAGGTTCTGTGAGCTTGACTTGAGTGGAACCACTTCTCTGGTGTCACTGGCGCCCTATTTGGGGTGACTAGATAGACTATTGCTCCTGTCTTCCCAGTAAAAGTTCCACAACAGAAGGCCCTATTCTCTCCGGTCAGTACCAGGTCCCTTCTGCTGGTAACCCGAAGCCTCAGTTGGATACATCTCGCCTGTATGTGTCCCCACATGTCTGACCTCATCTCCTCTCCATTCTTCTCCAGGATCAGAACCCACCCAGGGAGCCAGGACTTGGAACCTTTAACATAAACGTTACTGCATCCTGATCAAGTTGGTTAGGGTCAATCCTGCCTCCATCCCTGGAGTTGCCAAATTTTGTGAAATAAAATTTTAGTTTTGCTTAGACAAATTAGACCCAGATTTCCCAGTATTTGGCTCCTCGAATAGGGATATCTCACTCTGTATGGCATCCACTACCTCTCAGTCAAATATCTCAGCCAGCTCACCAGCCAGCTCACCAGCCAGCATGGGGGAAATGATGGGGGAATTAAAACAACATACTTGAACAGACCACACATCTGCCCTGGTTAACTTCTGTGTTCGATATAAATACAATCAAGGCCTACAGAACAGGCTACCACCGGCCAACAACGATACAACACTAAATAGTCTAGGAATACCACCCCTTAGCATTCATCTTATTATCTCACCATACGGCAGTGACAATTTAAGCAATACACAGGAAAACAAAATTTTAAAGAAATATCATTTCAAAAATTAAGCCAGGAACACAACGATTGTTTATGAAGAAAACCAGAGAGCTTTGCAGGGGTAGGAGGAGGAACCCATAGGAGAAGTGTAGCATTGTTCTGCACAAAAGACCTGGTTTCATAAAGCTCTGAGCAGTGCCCACACTAATCTATACCAGGAAATTCTCGTGTTGATCAATTTTAAATGAATCTGGAAACCTCAATAAAAATGGGGAAATGGCCAAAGGACATGAGGAAGTCATTCACAAGAGAAAACTAGATAAGAAAGATCAGCTCCATGCCCCACTAGGGGAAGGGGGCCAGTGAGGATGTAACATTGCTTCTGGAGGTCACGTGACAGGGAGCTGCTGAAACCTTCGAGCTTGCATCTCTCACTTGAAAGCATCACTTACAGAAGCTTTGTTAAAAGAGAAGTAAACTGAAGGCCTAGCACAGCTCATTGCATCATTTACGTTCTTTTCCTTTTTTATTTTCATGTGTGCAGTGTGTGGAGTGAGTGTGGGTACATATACATGCAGAGGCCTGAGGTGGACATCAGGACTGACTCTGAATTACTCTTCTGCCTTATTCACCAAGGCTCTCTCAATCAAACCCAGAGCTCATCTATGCGGCCCTCTTGCTAACCAGCTTACTGGCAATCCCTCCTCTTTGCCTTCTGAGGCTAGAATACAGATATATTTACACACACCTTTTCAGAGCACTTCCGACAGCCCTCCTTTCCCACCAGTACCCTCAACTCTATGGTCTAACTCAGTCTCTTAAAAGATACTTGAAAGAAATTTTATAGTGTCCTACTGGGACAAAATTCGGCATGCAGCAAGACCTAGGTATCCTCTCAGGACACTAAGATACACAAAGCCTGAGGGATTATGTGTCTGCTTTTTGTCATTACTGACCCCTTAGGAGAAAGGAAACCCTGAGGATCAGAGCCCCTGCCAGCCCAGCCCAATGCTGTGGCAGCTTTACAACCCGATCCTTGGGTTGGGAAGTTCATCCTTCTGCCAAAAGGGCTCAACATCTCCAAACGCCATCATGGACATTGACGAAGTAGTGAACCAATGGGCACAGAGTGTGGAACAAATTCTGCTATGAATCGCTGAGAGTTTGTCCATTATAGCACCCTGTGTTTGGAACTACTAGTTTCTGGAGAGAAACACAAGCCCTTATAGATGAATATGGAGTTTGGAAGAACTGTGTCTTATCCTTTTCCTACTTAGCTAGAATGAAGAGTTTCCATGGGTAAATTCTCAGTTTATAGAGGCAGAGGGGAAAAGGCATGAGACCGGGGGAGGGGGGTGAAGACTAGGAGGAAGAGGAAGAGATGAGATCATGTGGCCAGTGATGGGAGTGGGTAGTTCACAAATAGGAATTCACCTGGCAAAGGCCTGGAGTAGAAAAGAGGAGAGAGTGGTGGCTAAGTGTGGCACTGTGGTACAATGCCAGACATCTAGGCTGCAAAAAGAAGGATGCAGAAGTAGCAGATGAGGTAGGCTAGGTCGTGACCATAGGTAAGTTAAATGGCAGGCTAAAGAGCTAATGCCATCCCGCAGGAAATAGGATATCATGATGGGAAGAACATGGGGGATGGGTCTGAACTTATTTATGGGTATTGGACACCCTTCCAACTCCATGTTCTCACCTATGAAATTGGCTATGGTAAGATTCGAGGAGTGTTTATATACAAAGTGCTTACAACAGTGCCTGGCGCCCATCCACTACATAATAGTTGGCTACTGAAAGATATCACTGATCTGGCCACATCTAATCACCCTGGAACAGCTTCAGAACACTGCCAGCAGGCAGCCTAGACATGGGAGAGTCACCATGGACCTAAGATTGTGTTTCCAAATTCAAAGCATTCCTCTATGAATATAAATGCTTCTTTTGGCCAAAGCTGCCACGCTTTATGAAGAAATATAAACCTCACTGGAAGAGACATAGTAGGGTTGGACATGTAGGTCCATGGTAGAGTACTTGCCTTAGCTCCATGGTAGAATACTTGCCTAGCCTGACCAATAGCCAGCACGCACAGAAAGGAATACACAAAGTCTAAATTGGTACCTAGCCCACACGCACACACACACACACACACACACACACACACACACACACACACACGCACCAACACTCCTGTGGCATGACCCTACATTACCTAGATTTTTATCAAACAATGGCAGCCCAATGGCAAGATACACCATTTATGAGACGATAGCTCTGCGCTAAAGTTGAATGACTGCAAAGTTTTGGTACACAGAGGGAGGAGAAGGAAGGTGTTACCTAAATACATTGATGATTGACGCAATGATGTCTAGGGACTTACTTCCAGATCCATCCTTGACTCTGGGCCCTTCAGGCTTGGCCTCAGACATGATGTTGGCATTGGCGTTGTTCTCCATCTCAATCACGAAGTCACTGTCCTCTTCAAACTCGGGGTGGCTGAAGATCCAGTCCAGTGCCCTTTCCAGGTTATGATTCTGAAGAAAGGAGAATCACAATGCATTCAGTGTCCAGGCCGCATCATGTCCCAAACATTTGCACTAGGGGTCAAGCAGCTAGGCAGGAGGCCTGAGCTGACTGGCCCTATGCATCTCTGAGTGAGAAGCTCAGACCTTGTCACTCTCCCACACACTCCCTACCACTCAGTCACCAGAAAATGAGCTCCAGAGTCCCCACTTGTCTTAGCTCAGCATTGTTGCAGGCTGGTGCCAAGATGAGGGATGCAAAGGGCACAGGGCAAGGGCGGTGTTTCCACACGGCCCTTTCTACAGCCACAGTAATTATATACGCTCTCTTCTCTGTCTTTTGCAGACACTTCTGGAAGGTAAAGGTGCCAATGTGCACACTGGGTTAATGCCTCCTTGCCTTAAGTACAGGAAAAATGTAGAACAAATGAATGCCTAGGTTCATGGTTGCTCTAATGGAATCCCATATGGTTCAAACCAACTAAACACAAAGTTATTTCCACCTTCCCGTTTGTGACAGCACTAACAAGCTAAAGAATTTGTTTGTATATAGAAAATGCAATGAAACAAGTTGGGGTCATGAAAATACCCAAGTGAGGAAAAAGTCTGGTTGAAATAGTTTGAGAATTTTATTATATTTAGGTATGATCCTCGTATACCCAATCCCTCCAACACCCTTATCATAAAGGGGTGTTGAATTTTGTCAAATGCTTTTTCAGCATCCAATGAAATGATCATATGGTTTTTTTCTTTCAGTTTATTTATATGATGGATTACATTGATAGATTTGCGTATGTTGAACCAGCCCTGCATCTCTGGGATGAAGCCCACTTGATCATAATGGATAATTTTTCTAATGTATTCTTGGATTCAGTTTGCCAGTATTTTATTGAGTATTTTTGCGTCAATGTTCATGAGTGAGATTGGTCTGTAATTCTCTTTCTTGATTGTGTCTTTGTGTGGTTTTGGTATCAGGGTAACTGTAGCTTCATAAAAAGAGTTTGGCAATAATTCTTCTGTTTCTATATTGTGAAATACATTAAGGAGTATAGGTATTAGCTCTTCCTGGAAGTTCTGGTAGAATTCTGCATTGAAACCATCTGGTCTTGGACTTTTAAATTCCCATGACCTGGTCATGACTCACTATGTGCTCAGCTATAGGCCCTGGCAGGCACCTAGTCAGGATAGGCAAAAGGACCTGGGAGCAGACAGCCACTCAGAATAAATTCTGATGTGGCAAGGGGGTGGGGGTAGCAAAAGTTCTTCCCCGACTATTAAACAGATACCTACACCACCAACCCATTACTGCACAGCCCCTCCTCATGAATTGAGACAGTCATAACTACAGCAGAAATTCTTCTCTGCAGAAGGAAACAGTGGCAGAGAATTCCAAGGACTTTCTACAAGGGCCGTCGAGACATATTTCTCCAAGGTCTCGATATCAAAACAGCATGATTTTATCTTATACGTTTTCTTCCCAAGTCAGAACCCTGGCACTCTCTTTGCTCTGAAGCTGGCAAACTCCACGCAGATCTGTGAGTCCCACTAAGGAATGTTAAAGATCTTGTTCGTATCGCCCCAGCTCCACATCCCCTCAGGCCTAAGCTCACCACACGAGTCCCTCATTCACTCAATTTAGCTTTGTGTATGCTACATGAAAATAAATCTTCATGACGTGTGATGGGACACACAGTCAGACAATGATTCGAAATGATCAAAGACATTGGGCATCTCTATTGCCAAGGATCAAACTGGAACCCCCTCCAGAATTTGCAAGCTCAGTCACCGGTGCTCACCGTGGCTCGTAGGGCCTGCACGGCCTGACTGCGCTGAAATCCCATGGAGGTGATGATAGCCACAATTTCCTCAGGAGGTTGGTTGTCCAGTCCAGTAGCACCAAATACAGAGGCCCCAGCCCCTCCGTACCCAGGGATGGACAGTGGTTCAGCAAAATCTGAGGAAAATAACTATACTAAAATTTTTCTGTTTTTTTGTCTTGAAAACAAACATTATAGGAGTAATGTAGAAAAATACACAAAATTGTTTAATCAAGGATCCTAGAACCAGATCTAAGGTTAGAGATGTAAGTCGGTTTCACAGAACTGTGAGGTCGGAAAGGTCAAAGGTCAAAGGTCGTCTTCCAAGCAGACCTTTCACCCAGCCAGGGAAACAGCCTTTTCATCAAACGGTGCCAGGACAACTGGCTAGCTGCATAGTGATGATTTCTTATACACGACACAAAAAGTGTAATTCATAAAACAAAAAAGTAGATGTAGCACACACCATCAAAATTTAAAAAGTGTCCACTTAAGAGAAGTGAAAACAGGCCGGGCGGTGGTGGCGCACACCTTTAATCGCAGCACTCAGGAGGCAAAGGCAGGAGGGTCTCTGTGAGTTCGAGGCCAGTCTGGTCTACAAGAGCTAGTTCCAGGACAGGCTCTAAAACTACAGAGAAACTTTGTCTCAGAAAAACAAACAAACAAACAAACAACAACAAAAAAGAAGAAGTGAAGAAATAGCAGAACAGTAAAATATCTCTGAAAATTATGTATCTGAGAGGAAACCTATATCTAGAATTTAAAAAGTACTCTTAGAACTTAATAATAAAAAGGCAAAGAACTAATTACGCCCCCGGTGCTATCAGTCATTAGGGCAATACCTCCTGAAATCATGGTGGCATACCACGGTATACCCAGGAACCACTGTAAGGAAACGGCTAACAGTGAGAATTCAGAGAAACTGGGTCTTCCATTCAGCATGGCTGAGCATATGGGAGAGAGTTCAGCCACCGTGCAAAATTGTTTGACAGTTTTGAAAATTTTAAAGATAGAACTACATCAATTCTGCTCAAGAGAAACAAATTATAAATGCACAAATGCGAAACAGTTCATGTTTCCAGCCACATTAATAAACACGAAAGAATAGAAACAACCCAACTGAGTATCGTCTATGATGGAAGGACAATAAATTGTGGTATGGCTAGACAATGGGATACTATATGTCCGTTAAAAGAAAGCACTGTTCATGCTACAGTATAAGACCCCTAAATACACCATGAAAAGCAATAGAAGCCTGACACAAAAGGACTCTTCCATTCATAAGAATGGTCAAAAATAGACAATTCATAACAATTGTAGGATACCCATAAAGTAGATGAGTGAATACTCGGCATTGGAGAGAGCAAGGACATGGGAGAGACGGTATCATAGGGTTTCTGTTGCTATGACAAGACACCATGACCACAGCAACTCTTATAAAGAAAACATTTAATTGGAGTGGCTTGCTGATAGTTTCAGAGATTCAGTCCTTTATCATCATGGTGGGACATGGAGGAATGAGGGCAGGCATAGTGCTGGAGCTGAAAGTGGTGGAAGTCGACTGAGACACTGGAAAGTTTCCTGAGCATAGGAAACCTCAAAGCCCGCCCACACATTGACATACTTCCTTCAACAAGGCCATACCCACTCCAACAATGTCATGCCTCCTAATAGTGCCACTCCCTATGAGATTATGGGAGCCAGTTACATTCAAACTAACACAGATGGCTCCAGTCTATAGCATTTCTTTGGGGTATACAAAACTATTCTAGAATTAGACAGTTGCTTAATTGTGAAGTGACTAAAATTCACATAAATGTACCCTTCTGATGGGTATATAACTGACATCTTCAGAAAGTAGATGAAACAAGAAGCTAAGGAGAGGGCCTCCATGTCTTCAGTTTTCTATTTCAAACTTGAAGTAGACACCACAACTTTCTAATGATCTTTTGGTCAAAAAGTGCGGACACCTTAAAGGAGGAAGTTATTTCAAGAAAGCTGTTGATTAAAAAATTAAGATGGCGACTTTGCTCAAACTGCAGCATTTCGCCATCTGAAAACTCCTCTTTAGAGATATACCCTTGGGGATATGAACCCCAAAGTGCTCCCATATTGCCACTTACCAGGTTCCTCCATGTGCACGATAATCCAGTTGAAGGCCACCTCGGCTCCTGTGTTTCCAGTGAAGTACACAGCCTTGCGGCAAGCTTCCAAAGGGAAGCCCATCTCAGCCAGCTGCATCACGGAGGATTCGTCAATGTCTGCGGCTGCAGAGCACAGCAGGATAGCCCACCGTGAGAAACAGAACTTTCCTCTTCCTGCCTTCATTACTCTTCAACCCCTTATCTACAGACTGCCTGAAGTCCATTTCGTTGGGTCTTAATTTGACTTCTTTTTATGCTATCTAACTATTGAGCTATTTATGAGAAGAAATGGTATTAGTACCTCAGTTTGTACATGAGGTAACAGGGACATACAGAGCAGAAGATAAATTCTTTCAGGCCACACAGTCCTAAGCAGCAAAACCAAGGACCACCCCCCCAGGACTGCTGGCTCTCAAGCCTACACTAAACCTCCTGAGGCCACTCACGCAGCATGTTGTAGGCCGACATTTGTTGCTTATTCAACTTACAGGCCCTTCCATTCAGGAACAGCTGCATGTATCCAGCATAGAAAGCGTCTTTGCTAAAATATCACAGAGAAGCTTGTCACACTAGGGGGCTGAAGTGTTAAGAGCAATTACTGTTCTTCCAGAGGACCCAGGTTCTGTTCCCAAAGTGCACACATAGTGGCTCACAACCTTCTCTAACTAATTTCCAGAGAACCTGACACCCTCTTCTGGCCTCTGTGGGCATCAGGCATTCACATGGTTACAGACATGCATACGGAGAAGACATCCATATGTATAAAATAAAAATAAACCAATCTTTAAAACATGTCATACTAGTAACAAATGTAAGACACCAAAAACATTTTTAAAGATACCTACGGTCTATCAACTGGTTCATCAGGCGATCTGAAAATGAAGGGACAGGTTATAAATGAGAGCTAGCCATGGCCAATAGTGTTAGAAAAAAGAAACCACATCAGTCCAGAACATTCCCAGACCCTCTCACTCCTGGTTACCCCACACACCACCTGCAAAACATAGTTCATTACAGTAATGAGGGGAAACAGCAGATTTGGGGAACTTAGACAGAAATAAAACAAGAAGTTCTGACATATCGGTGAGCTAAATAGTTTCAATCCCTCATTTATTTCTAAGAACACTATGTACTTGCAAATCAAGAGTTCTAGCCTGAACATTATTGATACGAGCAGTAAGAAAAGCTATTCTGAGACCTCCCTGCCGCTCACCATTGCCTGTCTGTAAGTCCTTCCAGGAGCCACCTGCCACCAGGACCCCAAATCAATGTCTCAGAGTATATATGTCTGAAGTGCACAGTCGCAACCACACTTCATTCCTATGTGTCTAGGTCGATGACATCACAGGGAGCAGATTAGTGGTGGAATAGTGACTACTCCTGGCTGGAGGAAGGTGGGAGGCAGTGAGCATCCTTCCAGTAGAAGATGGTACCTTTTGAGTCATCGGGAATGACTATAGGGGGGCTGATGTCTGGAAGTTCTTCTTCTCCGGGCTGTAAGCCCCTGGCTCTGAGGTGGCTGATATCTAGTAGGTCTGGCATATCAATAGAAACATCTGGAAAACAAAAGATTATGCTCACTGAACTCTCCAGAGTCTGCAATCGGTTCATTATAAATTGCTAGAGTTCATTGCATGCATGCATCTAGGCAGCCTAGAGGATGCTCAGCACAACAGACTTGTCAAGCCACAAGGTTAATGGAAGGCTCAAGGAAAAGGCAGAAAGTAGTGGGACAGAGGGGTCACACTGGACAGCAACAGGTCAGAGAAGTCAGTGATCACAGACTAGCAGCCAGGCTATCAGTGGTCCAGACAGACTTCATTTTGTGGGTTTTTTTTTTTAAATATGGGCATGATTTAATTTCTTAAAATGTGGACATGATTTAATTTCAAAGGCCATGAAGCTGCAGTACATTTTCCTGTGTTGACTGTCTGGACTTCCCTTTAGCTTCTATTCTGGACAATCGTGGCCTCTGTGACTGTTTCACACTGACCCCACTGCTCCGGACTGCCCCAAACATGCACATCATGCATATGAAAGAGGACATCTTTCTGAACTATGTTATTACACACAGTGGAGCCTGCCATGAGAGTAAGCTGACAGTGGGCTGTGTACGTCCTGCATGAGAGTAGGCTGTGTACGCCCACCATGAGTAGGCTGTGTACGTCCGCCATGACACTAGGCTGTGTACTCCTCTACCCAGCAGCTCTTCTTTCCTGCACATTTCTTCCCTGTCCCTGATGCACATTTGAGTTTGAGAACTCCTAATTTATATTTTATTCAGATCATACGAGAAACTGTGATGATTCTAAATTACAAATGATCAAACTCAAAACAACTTGGCTGAATCTTGTGTCTACCCCTGGGTGCTCTGGGAGAAAAACAAAACCCTCTTGGATCAGTGGCATTTGACTTAACTCAAATACAAGATTTCTAAACTGAATAGCACCTGAGACTGAGTGTTGCACCTATGCAAACAGGAACAGAAGTGGGTTCAGCTACAATTTTAGGGTTATGTCCTTCAGGCCCGAAGAATAACTGTCTCCGAATGATGGCCGATATGTAAATCCTACTCAAGATAGCAAAGCAGGCTGGGCATGGTAGCACATGCCTGCAAACACAGAACTTGGGAAGTGGAAGCAGGAAGATCAGAAGTTCAAGGCTAGTCTCATCAACACAGTAACTTCAAAGACACCAAAGCTACAGGAGATCATGCCTCACAAAGCAAACTAAACAAGTATAAATGAAAGAATAATCCAAGAACAAAAGCTAAGTCTGAAAAGTTAAATTTTAAGGACCAGTAGAACTAAACACAAGGTCAGACACACAACATTGATACAACTGTTCCTGAAGAGAAAAAGTCCAGGCCCTCCTTGAGATTCCTTCAAGCAGTCAATAAACTCTGATTTCATTTTTAATATTCATAAAAAATTCCAAGAACAACAAAAAGAAAGAAAACTGTCCAAAGCTGTCCAAAGTTTCCTATCTCAAGTATCTAGTCATCGTCCCTTACCCCGAAGCCAGTAGAGCATAGAGTGCTCTCAGACCCTGTTCTCAGACCCTCTCTGCACCCTAACCTCCTCCGCAAGAAAACCAAGGGTCTCCCGGGAATCAGAAAAACCCTGCACAAAGGACGAGCTGTCACTGTGTGCCCACCAGCCGCAGGCTCCCTAGGAAATCGCCCTGGCTGGGTTTCGTCCTCTCTCCCTGTCCCCTTCCACCAGTGTTTGGATGACTCCTACGACTTGCAATGCTAAGCTGCGGAAATGCTCAAACACAAATCCCTAAGAGATTGGCAAACAGTCTGACGTCCTTACCCGAGACGCTATCAAGGACAAAACACACATGCTTCCACCTCCTGGAGCCACGTAAGACCTGTCAGATTCAACCCCCGCAGTGGAGGAAATGGCCTTTATGCCTTGTCTGGAAAATAAGCCTTCCACAGTGACCAAGGGCCTTGCAAATGGGTGAGAATAAAGTACCGTCCAAAGCATATTCTTCTTTCTACTGTACAAAGCAACTGTTTCCGTGTGACTATTAGTAAAATCTGTATGATTTCGATGAATGCCAGGGGCACCTGCTGTATTCAGAGGCAGGGGAGGGCTGCTAGGAGGATCCTGTATCATGCCTCCCTGTCCCCTGCTACTCCAAGTGTGGTATGTAGACTAGTCATGGCAACCTAAGGCTGCAAGTCCAGAGAAAAGTGGGGTGTGTTAGAAACACAGTCTCTCAGCCCACCCTGCATCTGCCAATTAGCATCCGCATTTCCCAAAGGTCCCAAGTGACAAGGCTGCACAGTTCCGTCCAGGATGCGCCACCGTGAGGACCACACTTTCCCTCTTAGAACCTGGTCCCTCCAGAGCGCAGCAGTGAAGGGGTGGTCAGCATGTGACATTTCTTATTGTCAGTATTTCTAGAAGGCTGTGAGACCAGAGAAAGGTAGGAGTGACAGAGAAACACAGGGATGGGCATGACAGGGGCAGGGGTCCTGACAGCCTCTTTCACATGCCATGTCTTGTTAAGTGGCTCACTCTACAGATTAAGCAGAAGCATGCAAAGGATACCTACCAAATTTCCTGGGAACCCAGTCAAGACCAAAAGTGAACTTCTTTATCTGCACTACCAAGTATTCAGGGAATGAGGCAAAGCGAGATGTTCTGGGAAACACAAGGGGGGGAGATCAATCAAACAAGGCAGAAAGAAAGGCGAATGCAGTCTACCGCGCACTGGCAGCTTTGTCGGAGGCGCCTGGCAACGCCAAGGACTGCCCTGTGAGGAGGAACTGAACGACAGTCAGGTGCACGGCTACTCGCCACTCGCTCCAACCTCCTGCCTCTCCGCCAAAGAAAACGCTGATGCAGGCCACAGTGAGCAAGGCGTGCAGCTGCTTCACAGCGAGCGCTTTGCTGCGACATTCGGAAAAGGGCTTTTCAGCCATTTGGTTTCCCAGCATTCTTGCAGGGTTTCCATGTATGTACTTGTAGGTGTTCTCAGTCAAGCATGCTCTGTGTCTGTGACATTCTCCAGGTGATGCAGAGAAGCCCTGCTTCACTGAGATGTAGAATCACCACCTCCAGACAATGGGCTGGTGCAAGGCAGGCAGACCAGAATTGGGTTTAGGCTGACCCTTACATTCCAGCGCCTCTTTAAATTCCTGAATCTCTGGTAGCGTGAGTCCTACAGATAGTGCTGTTTGGGAGCAATTATCTAAAGTATCTAAACCTAAGTCTTGCCTTTTAAAGGATTTTGGTTTATGTGTATGAGTATTTGCCTGCATGTGTGCGCATGCACCACTTTCGTGTCTGGTGTCTGCAAAGGCAAGAAAAGGGGACCATGTCCTCTGGAACTGAACCTGAAAATGGTTATGAGCTGCCATGTGGGTCCTGGGAACCAAACCCTGTTCCTCTGCAAGAGCAGCAAGTGCTCTTAATTGCTGAAGCATCTCCTGAGCCCACTAAGCCTTATATTTTAAACTTGATACACGTTAATTCTGAGTTCACTTCAAACGAAAGATCCAGTGTTGTAGGCTTGGGTTTATCACTTTTACGCACAGACTGACTATTCAATTTGTACATCAAATTCTTGCCTTTGTTCCGGCTCATTCAGTTACCAATCATTTCCAGAATCCGGTTGCTTGGCTGTCTATCTATGTAAACAGAAAATGAGCCACATCATTTCTTGGTCTTTTGGTTAAAATCAAGTACAGAAAATGAGCCATGGATGGTACAGTGGGTCCATTTTAAAATAAAAGATTCTGAGCTGCCGCCTCCAAACCCCACCTTTTGAATTAGAGCCATTGCCTTCTATTTGGAATACATCATTTCCCAGACTGCACAAGGCAAACATCAATGTAGTACTGCCCTCTGCTGCAGAACAGTAGACACGGCACAGGGCTAGTCATAAATAGTAGAAAGGTATAGCTTCGGGTCATCAGAAGGCTCTGTAATTCACTCCAGACCTGGGTAAATCACTGGCCCATCTAGAAGTGAGCTTACTCAGGCATCTGCTGCCAGGGCTGTGCAGTGCTCACACTAGTGAAGAACCTTGGCTGTGCATTGCTCACACTAGTGAAGAACTTCTCAACACACCAGACAGTACTGTTCTAAGAAACAGAAGTGAATTCTGCCGGCCCTAAGGTCTTGGACACTGAATTGGGCCATCACTGGCCTGTATTCTCCCCCAGACAAGTTACATAGCCTGCTGGGTCTCAAATTCTCCATCACAAGGGCAGCAGAAGGGAACAGGCCATAATGTAAGGCAGCTAAGAGGTTGGTCCTGCCAAGGAATTGATCTAGGATTATCCTGGCTCTTGCAAGAAATTTATAATCCCTTCAGTCAGGTTCTCTGGTTGTCTGAGAAGCCTCAGTAAACACCATTCTCACATAAGTGAGGTCAAGACCTCCGGTTTATCAAAGCCAAAAAAATTCACCTGCTGCTGCAGCATTTTCAACTGATGCAAAAATAAAAAGTTATCTTTTAACTGTAGGGTGGTGTATGCGAGAGAGGGTGGAGAAAGGAGAAAGGGTGGAGAAAGGGTGGAAGGGAGAGGGGGGAGATGAGAGAGCGAGAAACATGTTCGTGTGTATGGACACAGCAGGAACGTGTAGGCCAAAGGCCAACATGGGGTAACGTCCTTTCTCACTCTCCAGTGCCCCCAGGAATCTTCCTGCATCCCAGCTCCCCAGCACCATGTACACAGGCACGCATCAGCATGCTTAGCTTTTTACACAGTGCCCTGAGACCAAATGCAGGTGGGCTCTCTCCAACAGGCATCAGATTCTTTACTGACTCAGCCAACTCCCCTGCCCCGGAGCTGCTTTGCTCCTTAAATCAGTGACGTGCCAAGGGGGATTCAGGAACCACAGTTTCAGACCCTTATGCTAAAGAGCTCTGTGAAAACAGGGTCAGGGCAGGAGGATCAGTTTGACGTTGGGACAGAGGATGGGGGAAGCACAGAAGACGTGACTGGTACAGGGAACTACCAACCCCGGCGTACAAGACGGCAGAGGAAACTGTTGCCACGTTTCAAAGATGAGTGTCTTCAAAACCCCAGCCCTAAACTCAACCACACTTGCAGAGACTGCTCCACATCTATCTGTTCAGGTTCGTCTCAAGAGAGGTAAGAGTTTTCACTCATTAGCAGCAGTTTGGGGACATCAGGTTTACAGTTAAATCCAACACTGTCATAAACGGTGCTTTGTGAAAGAAGACTGAATAAGGATAAACAAAATTTCTGCATAGTCTTTTATTCCTAAACCTAATCTGTACAGCTTTTCTTAGAAATTTATACATTTTAAATAAAGACTATCAGAAAATAAATCCAAAAAATCTGTATGGATATACAATTTACTTTTTTAAAAAACTGCGGGAATTAAATTAGTCAAGTGCTCAGAACAGGTCTTGGCACTACAACAGGCAGTTACCTGATGCCGATTGGCATTATTTAAGACAAAAATTGCTCACTTATTACAACTAAGCCTAAATGCTATGGAGACATTTTACTAAGGGAAAAATAAAAGCCGCAATGACTAAAATGATTGGCTAAGTGTTAAAAACCTGCTAAGTAGAGAAGAGTACTAGTCACTTTCTACTAAATGTGCCAAAAATATAACTAGACAACCACATGCATGCCACATGATCCAAGGCATCATGCGTGCGCACACACGCACATGCACACACACAAAAGTTCACAATAACAATAGCAACACCACCCATCCTAACTACTGACAGGGACCCTGTAAAGCACTTGTCCTCAGCTCCCTTAGACCTCCTCAGTTCTATAAATAAAATACTTCTGTTATCGCTGCTTTATAGATAGGAAACAGGGTACCGGGAGGAGAGTCCTTTGGCCAAGGTCACATTGCTGCTGACCTGGAGAGTCAGCTCTGAGCCCGTGAAGGGCTCATCTTTCCCGAATGACAAGGAGGAAATGAAATCCCTCCATAGCCACATTGGCTCAAGGACCGGAGCTGGATCTTGTCCCGCTCTCTGCCTATCATGAGCAATATATTGGTGGGTGAATGGATGTTCCAAACAATAACCGTCTTCCCAGACACGGTCTGTTAGGGTCATTTACACCAGTGGTTCTCAACCTTCCTAGTGCCTCTAATCCTTTAATACAGCTCCTCCTATTGTGGTGACTCTCCCCTAACCATAACATTATTTTGTTGGGCTATATAACTGTAATTTAGCTACTACAACAAATCATAACATGTTTCTGTTTCCCAATGGTCTTATATGACCCCTGAGAAAGGGTTGTTCCCAAAGGGGTCGAGACCTACAGGTTGGGAACCACTGATTTAAAGGCTCATTGTTTCTGGTCCATCCTGACCTACAGGTGCACCAAGATCGACCTACTCTTTTTGTTTGTCTGTTTGTTTGTGATGCAGAGGTGTGTGTGTGTGTGCGCACGCACGCGCAAACACACATGCATGCATGCATGTGTAGTCTATGCTGACATTGATATCTCTCAATCGCCTAGACTGCCCATGAACTCAACCATCTTCCTACCTCAGCTTTCCAAGTTTGGGGATTATAGGGATGTACTATCACCCCTGGCCACCAAGGATACCTTTTGCCTTTTCCTGGATGTTCAGGCTCTGGGTCTAACAAAAGGAAAATTCAAGGCCTCACACTAACAAAATGTCAGTCAAATTACAGCCTACATGGCTACAAAATAAATTTAAAATAATGAATCCCCAGAAGTTCACTAGCTGGCTTTGCCAAATGCCAAAATTAGCATTTGGAACATTATAAAGTGTAATAAGGAACACGAAGCATGGCTACATACGGGCATGCGCATAATATGGTGGTGACACAGATAAACCTGGGTTAGGAGTGCAGTCAGACCAGTTGAGTCTCCCAAGCAGGCCACTTACTGGCCAATTGCTTCTCTTTTCAATGACCCCTCTGGAAAGTGGGAGACTAAAGGGGCCTACCTCACACCGCGAAGAGCACATTAAATGTGGTAACTGGTGGGTGGGAGGCTGGGCTATAGCAAGACCCTATCTCAAAACACAACACAAATAATAATAAAAGATACAGCTGACAGCAAGTTCATCACAAGCTCCTCAGGAAATAGTAAAGGGTGGGTATTTTAGGAGCTCTCATCTTTTTCTGTCCCACAAGGACTGTGTCTTCATATAACAAGTGTGACACAATGCTAGTTCTTCTCAGACCTAGAAAAAGCATAGGCACTCTGAGGAGATGGCTCTTTAGGGACCTGGGTTCAGATACCCAGAAACCATATAGCACCAGGCAGTGATACACTCAATCATTCCCATGCTCCCACAGTGAGGTGCAAGGTGGAGCTGTAGGAATCTCTGGAACTCGCAGGCCTGGCTGTGATATGGTCGTGTTATGCAAGGACCATAAAAAGAGAGGCCATGTGGCAAACGAGGTAGAAATAGGAGAAGGTTGTTCTCTGACTTCCACGTATACCATGAGGTAAGTATGTACCTGTACACATTGTACAAGCTTGTGCACACACACACACACACACACGCGCGCGCACACACACGCGCACACACACACACACACACACACACACGCACAAAATCACCAGTCCCTACAACAAAACTTACCTAAGGATAGACCGCTGGTAACAGAATGAATGACTATTAATCCTCATCTGCATAAGGATCTTTGCAAAGTTAATTTGATAAAAAAATGGGGCTTTTGTTGGGTTTTGTTTTACTTTGTTTTGTTATTTTTGGTTCTCTGATTTTGCTCTGAGGTATATGGGGACTGGATTTTTGGAGTGGTTGTTGTTTTGTTTTGTTTTCTGTACTGAGAAACAAACCCAGAGCTCACACACACCTAGCAGGCCCTCTGCCACGGAGATGTGTCTCTAACTCTTAATCTTTGAAATAAATGGTCTTATTTTCCTGTTTCTGGCATGTGACGTCTAACCTGAAGCAAACAGGATCCTGAAGGCTCTGCAGACAGCAACCAACGGCAGGCCAGCGTGCCAATTAGGCTGTAGGGGAAGAAAAGCAGGGCACCACGGCCCTGCACCCTTCACTCTGTCAACTCAGACCTCACTCTCGCCCTTCAAGAGGAGGCCAAAAACATTCCCCAGTAGTAAAATTCCAGAGACAAGCTTCCTCCAGCTAAAAAAAAATAGCTGGCTGATAGCTTGCTTGTTTATCATCTGTGAAATCCTGGGCTCAACCTCCAGCACGGCAAGGGAGTGTAGAGAAGGAGGAAGCAGACTTTCCAATTAAAAGGCAAACAGGGAGAACTGGGTGGAAATAGCTCCCAGCAGCCCTTTACTCTATGTCTCTATAAGCGCTTTTTCCCCCACTCAAGGGCCAACATGAAGCATGTTTGCAAGTACTGACTGTAGCAGATCCTCAAGTGGAGAAAAAGACCGCATGGACCTGACAGCCAGGCTCACACATGAACATGACGCATCTCCTAACTGGGCTGTAAGGGGCTCACCATGCACACGCTCATGCCTACCTAGCATGCCCAAGACTTCCCCGAGAGGCACATGATCAACCAAGGCCTATGCCAAAACATAACTGTAAAACTACAACATACTGCTCCGGGGTTTACATATTGAAGGCTGCCATGAGTGGTTTTGGGATTTCTTTACCAGTTACCATTCTTGCCATGAGGGGAGCAAGGGTGTTTCTCAACCCTACTCTCGTGGCAAGAGAGGGAAAAAAAAAGCGGGGGCAAATTTCAACTGCAGAATAAACCACAATTTTGTTTTTTGAAAAAAAAAAAAAAGGTAGGTGGACACTCCCCCACCCAGCACATAACCCGATCACAGGATGGACTGTCCTATTGGTCAGGCTAATGGAGTGACGTGAATGACAGCTACAGGTGACCATCACGATCCATCCCACCCTCAGGAACAGCATTCACAAACTCCCAGAACACCCAGGCCCTTCTGCTGCCTCTGCTCCCCACCTCCCCCAGGGACTGCCAGCCCTACTCACTTCACCCCTGCAGACTTGGCCTGCAGGGCGCTGCTCCAGAAATCCTCCACGTTGTCTGGCTCGGCAAAGGCCTGGAGGCAGGCACTGAAGGGGATCTTGGCTCGCACCAGCTCGGGAAGGGGTCTTCGGTTGGCTTCGGCTTCTCTCCTCATCAGTTCATAGGCGATCAGCTCATCTGAGGAAGAGCAAGGAAGGAACCTGCGGTGGTCTGCTTCTCTTGTGCACAGGAGCCACACCCCTTTGGGTGGTATATTTCCTTATAGGTCAGGATTGCTGCCTGTCTGTGTGTGTGTGTGTTCCAGAGAAGTCTTCCCAAAGGCCCTTCCCAAGACTTAGAGGCTTTATGGAGTCAGAAATACTTTTTAATTCTATTTTTTGTTTGTTTGTTTGTTTGTTTTTGAGACAGGGTTTCTCTGTGTGGCCCTGGCTGTTCTAGAACTCACTCTGTAGACCAGGCTGGCCTTGAACTCACAAAGATCTGCCTGCCTCTGCCTCCTGAAGGCTGAGATTAAAGGTTTGAGCAACCAGCGCCCAGCTATCACTCGAATTTTTCTTTATTCTTGCTTGTTTTGCTATTTCATTTTGAGACCAACAAGAAGGAACTGAGTCCCGATGAGACAACAATGACTCAGGGACCTGCTGTTCCATTTTCCCGCCCTCCAGTGACCCAGGTGCCGCTCTTCAACTGAGTCACACCAGAGTTTGCAGCTGTCAGGGAACCAAGGGCTCTCCTCTCCCCAGGCCCTTCACTTCCCTGACAAAGAAACTAAGGCCCCTGAGAAGCCTAGACTTAGAGGCCTGGTCAACAAACACAGATGAGGCCCAGAAGAGATATAACCCCAAGCGCGGGGTTAGACTTTTCAAGATTGGGTGCTTGGTTGGGGAGGGGCTGCCAACTTTAAGGTGTCTGGAAAAGAACATGGCCAAGGAAAGGAGATGAATCAGGATTGTCAGCGAGCTCCAGACAATGGTGAGATTCGGTGTCACATGCTTTCTGATTTGGTTCCTCCAGCCACTGTGACTATGGTCACGGGTCCCACAATGGCATGAGGTTAAGGGGAGCATGTGTCTAAGCCTGCTCTTATTCACTAACACCACCCCGGAAATACAACCAACCCACAGAAACAGCACCCAGTCCACTGCCTGGAGGCCTCCTGGGGCAATAATAAGAGGAAAGAAGTGAGCATGCTGGGGACCCTTGAGGGACCAGAGATCTGCTCCCATTTTGACACCAACTGCAGGTAAAACATCACAGGTACTTTGAATGTCATTTCCTTTCTGGTTGATTATTTCACAATAGCAACAACAATAACAAAAATTTCCTCCTAATAGATTGGTCTATGCACATACATATTTCCTAACCCCTCTGGAAAGCTTTTAAAACCCCTTTTAGGCCGGTGGTGGTGGCGCACGCCTTTAATCCTAGCACTCGGGAGGCAGAGGCAGGGGGATCTCTGTAAGTTTGAGGCCAGGCTGGTCTACAAGAGCTAGTGCCAGAACAGGCTCCAAAGCTACACAGAGAAACCCTGTCTCGAAAAAAAATCCAAAAACGACAAAAAATGCCATCTCTGTCCACCGTCAATTTACAACACAGTACTTCTATCTAGCCTACAAACGTTAAATGTTACGAGAAATCCAGAAACTAAACTATAACTCGGCGGTTAAAAACAATGACATCTTGAATTTTGCATGCAAATGGATGGAAATAGAAAACGCTTTACTGAGTGAGGTAAGCCAGACCCAAAAAGAGGAACACGGTATGTATTCACTCATAAGTGGATTCTAACCATAATTAAAGGTCTTTGAGCCTATTATTCGTGATCCTAGAGAAGCTAAATAAGAAGATGAACCTGATGAAGATTATTTAGCTATCCACCAGGAGGTAGGAAATAGACAAGAGTCCCAGGTAACCTCGGGTGCATGGGGGGGTGGGAGGGTCGATGGAGGGGGAGAGGGCTAGAGAGAAGGGAGTAGGGGAGGAACGGGGAAAGCTTGGTGACCGGGGATGGGGGGGAGGGAGGTAGGATGAATATGGGATCAGGGAACAATATATTTCAACTAAGGGAGCCATTTTAGGGTTTACAGGAGACTTGATTATATATGGGATCCCAGGTCCAAGGAGAAATCCCCCAGATTGCTCTCTGGACAGAGGAGAGGGTGCCTGAATCGGCCGTGGCCCATGACCATACTGATGTATATTTTGCTTATCACCATAGATCCTTCGTCTGGCGAAGGACGGCTATGCAGTCGGAGGCCCACATTGGAGCAACGGATTGAGCCCCCCGAGGTCCGGAGGGGGAGCGGAAGGAGGAGGAACATGAAAGACGAAATCAGTACTGCGAGGGATGCTATCACCCACTGATACAAGGGAACGGATCTGATGAGAATTTACCAGGGCCAGTCGGACTGGGACTGAACGAGGACGTGATCTAGCCAGATTCTCAGAATTTGGCCGGATTCTCTGACTGTGGCTGGCCCGGGGTCTTTCTGAAAAGCCATTGACTATGACACTGGGACCTGTTTCCTCTGCATATGCTGGATTTTGGGGATCCAGTCTGTTTGGACGCTCGCCTTCCTGGACTTGGAGGGAGGGGGAGGGAGCTGGAGCTTCCCACAGGGCAGGAAACCCTGACTGCCCTGGGGGACGGAGGGGAAGGAGGGGGGGAGTGGGGGGAATGGGAGGGTGTTGGGAGGGGGGGCGGAAATGGAAACTTTTATAATTTAATAAAATTTACTAAAAAAAAAAAAAAAAGATTACCACTCATATAGCGAATCAGAGACACAGGACTGCATTAAAGCTTTCAAAATGCAAACAGATTCATTCTGCCTCGCCTTACCAACTACATCAGTAAAGCAACTGTTCAAGTGAGAGTCTGGTACTTCTCCCTGACAATAAGAATCATCACAAGAGGATCTGGATGGCAGCCTTGCATGGACGACGCTTCTGCAGCGACACCTGCTGGGCCAGAGTGCTGCTGCTCCTACTAATCCTGTAGTTGGGGCTGCTGTAAGCCAACTCATGCAGCTCTCCTCATTTTGCATTTACAAAGGTCCCCGTCTCACCATCCTCACACATACACATCCTATATAGCATGTGAATTCCCTTTGAGAAACTGAGCACTGAGACTCTCAAACCAACATTAATTTTAGAGAACACTCTTTGTCATGAAGGCTGACAGACCTGAACAGAACCTGTAAGTCTGAGGTGAGCAAGGAAAACCAATTGTTCCTTCCAGTGGCTCAGACTGACAAGCAACTTGTCAGGTTCTCCCAGCATCTAGGAGGTAAAGCCTCCATGTCTAGCTGTCAGAGATTGTCTAGATTAGTTTAGCCCCTGACCAAGCCTGTGAGGGATTGTCTTGGTTAGGTTCATTTGAATGGGAAGAACCACCCTAAAAATGAGTAGCCCCATCAGCGTCCTGAGTGCATATGAAGAAGACAGCAAGTTGAACACAAGCTTCCTCTGTTTCTAGGCTGGAAAGAAATGTAACCAGCTCCCTTCACTCTTCGACACAACTTTCCTGTAATGGTGGACTACATGCTGTAACTTTGGCACAAAATAACCCCTCCCTCCCTCCCTCTGTGTGTTCCTTCCTCCCTCTCTCCCTCCCTCCCTTCCTCTCTTTCTCCCTCTCTCTCTCCCTCTCTTTCTCCCTCTCTCCCTTCCTCCCTTTCTCCCTACTGCCCTCCCTCTCTTTCTCCCTCCCTCCCTCCCCCCAGTGACTTTTGTCAGACACTTCATGGAACAACAGGAAAAGTAACACAGCCCTCACTCTCAAAAGGCAACAAAGCACACACTCCACAGCCTCCCGTATTTCGGATGATGGTCAAGAATCTACATGCAATCCAAAGCTGTATGCATGCATAGAGAATGGAAATAATTTCATCTTTAAACCATCAGGACCATCACTTCCCAATATCATAATAAATTAATACCACCAGAAAGTAGCAATAGGCACTCAAAGAGAAGTTTTTACAAGTATGGCGGGTACCCCAAAATGAGCAATCCAACAGCCATTTTTCCCTTTTCTTCTCTAAGACAAAACTCTAAGGAATACCATCCACCCCTTCTGCCTGGGAAGAATCAGATGATACTGATAGTATGGGAAGGAGCCATGCCCGGAAAGGCTACACGGTGGCACCTCTCCTGCATTTCAAAGTCCAGGCATTCTCCTCTTGGGCCTCACTGTTACAGAGTGCCCTGCCTGCAAGTCACCTCCCAGGAGGCCTGCCTTAAAGACTCAGGCAGAAAATCTCTGATTCCACTTCTAGCACCCAAAGATCCATTTCCATCCAGCTTTATACCAGAGCATCTTTTCAGTGTCACGAGAGAACCCTACCCACATCGCCACAAACGACACAATTGTGCTGACTGCAGCCTAACCGTGAGCCCCATTTCTGGGTCCTAAAGCAGTTCCTGTCCAGAATCCTCTGCAAAGCCTGCCAAAATACATTTAGCCACCTCCACAGACAGTCACGCGGGGACTTGAAAAAAATAAGAAGGGCCGTGCAACGCAAACACAGCCCATCCATCCCAGTGACCGGGCACCCGATCTCTGGGGCAGGTCTGCCCACAAGGAGACACACATGGCTCTTTTCCCGTTTGGGACTGTTACCTTTGTTGGTTGCTGCCTCCATGGCCACAGGTAACTGCATCAGGTAGTCCACCCTCTCCGTATAGCGGACCTTCCGGGTCTGACAACACTGAATGCGCTCTTCCACCAAAAACCGGAAAACGTCACTTGGGTTTTCTGAGCCAATGCGATTCCTCTGAAGGTCAGATAGAACCAGGTTAGTGGACACAGGGAATGAAGCCATTAATAAAATATAGCACAATGTCAACTATGATTCTGGCATCAAGATCTTTCTTTATGGAGTATTGTTTTTGGACATGAGAGTCGACCAGATTAAGACACTGTGATTTCTATAGTGTCCCCAAATGAGAGGTTGAATAAATAAATTCAAGTTCACCTGTGAAGTAATATTACAAAGCCATTAAAACCACAGAAGACGGATAGGTGTTGGTGGGATTAGAAGAAGGAAGGAAGATAAGCTAATGAATAGAAAGAGGAAAATATACCGTCCTGGGAAAACAAGGTATGTTTGATACAGTTCTAAGTGCACAAATGAAGAAACCATGCTATATTAGGGCACACAAGGATACGGCAATAAGCGAAGGAAAACACTACTCACACACACAATTCACACATGGTTGGGGAAAACACTACTCTCACACACAGAATTCACACACGATTGGGAAATGACTAAAGGATCAGTTGCCAAAATGTTAGCCACAGCGCCTGCTATCATGACAGCTCTGATTCGCTCCTCTGAGTTTTCTCCCCTTTCTGCAAAGAACACTTTGATAACCAAGGGGGAAAGGCTGCTATTCTATTCTGTTTAAGGTGAATTCTTCATGGCTTCCATAGGATTCAGGTCTGCTGCACCAGCTGTGTGATCAGCTGAGTGGTAGTGGTTCGATATCAAGGACCTGGAGGGGCTCTCAGGAGGCTCTGTCCAGAGGCCAGGCACACCCATCACACACACAGCGTGAAAGCCATACAAAGCCGGCAGCATCTGGAACCCAAATGTGAGAGGCAGCCACATCAAGTGCCAGCGGAGACAGCCACCGAGAGGCCCGGTGAGTGACTGATGTAAAGAAAAGGGTCATTTGGTCACACCATCCCTAGAGTCACTCTGTGGGATGCTCTCCAGACTTACCTCTACCAGGTTGACCAGGTGCAAGAAAAACTCCTGGGCATCTTGCTGTCTGTTAGAAGAAAATTCTGGATGGCTCTTGCTGACAAAGGCCTTGAACATGCGTGGGGAGATCCCGTTCTGTTGAGGCTAGAGAATAAAGGCAAAATCATCTTCTGTAGGCTAAAACCTACTACTCTTCTAAAGAGATACAGTAATAAAATGACTCCTAGTGACATAACACTGTACCCATCCGTAAGAGCATCACTCAGCCCACATCAGAGAAGCTCCTTGCAGTAGACAGTAATGCCCATAGAGTCGCACAAGTGACAATGGTAGAGAATGAGAGACTTTGTAGAGTACTCAGTCCTAAACAGGACCGATGCGCATATGAACTCACAGAGACTGTGGCAGCACAGGACCTACACAGGTTCAAACTAGATAAAGTCCCAGCACTGAGAGAGGAACGCATGATCCACCTCTACACAGAAACGGCCTGCACAATCCTTGCTGACAGAGAAAAACCAGCTTTCTTCAGCGGAGTGTCACTGGACAGATACAGCAACACTCTAGGGAAGGTCCTCCCACCACGAGTAGTCAGCAACACAAAACAAAGTCCTTGTTTTGTTTTGTTGGTTGGTTGTTTAGTAAACTTTTTGTTTTTGCTCTGTTTTGAAATTTTGTCTTACTGGTTTTTTGTTTCTTTGACTTTTGTTTTTTTTATTTTTGTCTTTTACTTTAGGGAAAGAAGGAAGAACACAATGTTGGGTAGGTGGGGAGGATCTGAGAGGTATCAGAGGAAAGAATACGATCAAAATATATTGTATGAAATAAGGATATACATGAAAACACTAAATTAAAAAAAGAATAAATCAGCAGATAACCCTTTCTGAAACCCGAATGGCAAGTGGGTGTGGCCTAACTGTAAATCCCACCTTTTGAATGAGGAGAAAGGCGACCATGACAAGAGCCAGCATCAACAGGGTATGTAGACATTGCTCCATATAAACTTTATGGGAACAAGGCTAGCTCAGTTGGCAAAGTATTCATCTAGCATGCATGAAATCTGCGACTCCATCCCCAGTACCACAGAAGCAGGTGTGGTGGGATACATCCGTAATCCCAGCACTCAGGAGGTGGACGCAGGAAGAGCAAAAGCTTGGTGTCATCCTTAGCTACATAGCAAGTCTAAGAATCACCTGGAGTCCATAAGACTGTCTAAAATATCTAGACACACATACACACACACACACATATATACATACATATATTTATAGGGATATATATACATACATACACACATATATATATACATATATAAATACATATATTTATAGGGATATATATACATACATACACACACACACACACACAGAGAGAGAGAGAGAGAGAGAGAGAGAAAGAGAGAGAGAGAGAATAAAACCTTATGTGAGAACAAATTGGGACTCTTCCTGTGGACTCAGAAATCAGGAGAGTGGGTGCCAATGCTCCACTTTGTTAACAGGCTTGAAGCCCATCCTCATAGAACGTGTGACACAGGGGCCAAGCTTCCTAGCAGACTAAAGATGCGCTATAGAGGGGAACCCCGGCAGCAGAGGAAGAGTTCATAGGGCCAGGGAGGTGACCTAGTGGTGAAGAGCACTCACTGCTTTGCCAGAGGTTCTGGGTTCAGATCCCAGCACCCACGCCAGGCTTCAGGCAGCTCACAACCACCTGTAACTCCAACATCAGAGGATCCGGACATCGCTGGCCTCTGCCCACACCTGCACTCACAAAGGTTAATTATTGATGCCTGTCAGTGTTCAGAATGCCCGAGGGGATGCAGTATGCTTTGCTCTCTACACAAAGATGCAAGTTTGTTTTCTTTTTCTTTTTTAGTTTATGTATATGTTCATGTGTGCGCGCAAACATGTGAGTATGCATGTAGACGCGAAAGGTCAATGTTGGATGTCTTCCTTAGTGGTTTCATCACCTTATTTTTTTGGGACAGGATCTTTCACCAGACCTGCAGCTCGTGCACCAGCTAAACTGCTGGGCAGTAAACATCAAACATCACACTGTCTCCGCCTCCCCAGAACTGAGACTAGAAGTGAGTCTTTGGCAGTTTCTAAAAGATTGTTCCTAAAGCCCTATATACAAGGTTGTTCTCTGGCCACTAAATGCATATGCACAGAGATTGCAATGCTGGCTTACACACACACACACACACACACACACACACACACACACACACAAGGCTGGGCTCTGCATACCACAGTTTCTAAAAAGTCAACATAAAAACTAAAGAATTGAGTTAAGGAGGTCACGTTTTCCATTTGACAGTGGCCTAGGGACGTCACCTAAGTGTTCCTACAGCCCTAGCATGTAAAATGAGGACAGAGGACGGCACATGGACTGATGTCTTGGTTGTAGGCTGTCTCTTGACCACTTACTTTATAAAAGGGTGGCCCTGAGTCTCCAGAATAACCCACCACCCAGGAAGCCTGTGGTACGACTAGGTTACTGTACTTCTTTCTCCTTCAGCAAGTGAAAAAAAAAAAGCCAGCTAAAGTTAGAAACAGGACTGCAGTGCCCAGGCTCTCCCAATGCTTGCCCAGAACCTTCTAACAGCGTGCTGCACACAGCCAGACAGTGTCCACTCACTCCCCAGAGCCCAATGCTCTCATTAACGAGCAAAAAAGTGAGCTAGCTGGAGCTTCCAGAGCATCAGAGCAACGCCTGAAGGTATTTCTGACCACAGACAGTTGCTGGCCAGTTCCAGCACTGGGCGGTATTTGGGGGAAGAGCTATTAGCATGATTGCTCTGAGTAACTGGCATGCTAGAACGATTCGGTGTGTGGAGTAGAGGGAGCACTTACAAACCGAGAAGGGCAAGTCCTGCTGGCAGCCTCGCTCTCCAGCAGCCCCACCTCAAGCCCAACTGTGAAGGCGCTAATGCTGAACCCTACGCAGTCTTTCTCCTCCTTCTGTTTGTTTCATTCTCTGATAGAAAACAACCAGATTGAAGCTGCTTAATTTTAGTTATGTAACAACTCAACATGGTGGAAACAACCTTAATAGAAGGCTGTATCTACGGTTTGATTCACTTAGAAACATTACCTTGTGCTTACATACAATGAAACGTGTTTTCTTAGTGTTAAAAAAAAAACGACAAGAATGTTATATTTGCCCAACAGGGGTAAATACAAACAAAAGAAAGAAAAACTCCATCCATGCTTAAAGCTAAAATCCTACTACCTCGGGCTGGAGAGATGGCTCAGTGGTTAAGAGCACTGACTGCTCTTCCAAAGGTCCCGAGTTCAATTCCCAGCAACCACATGGTGGCTCACAACCATTTGTAATGGGGTCTGGTGCCCTCTTCGGGCCTGCAGGCATACACACAGACAGAATATTGTATGTTAAATAAATAAATTTAAAAAAAAAATCCTACTACCTCTGTGTGCCAGGATGCTGGTTACCTCGGGTGACATTAAAGCCTACAGTGGTGTCAACCTTATTTTATTTGGGAATCAAACTGTCCCAGACTCAGTTTCTCTGAATACACAACTACTTCAAACATGCTATTTGCAAGGGAAAAGCCTGAAGGATTGTCACCTTCAAATTCTGTGAAAGCACCTGTCCAGATGAGCAAGAGTCTGGGAGCTATCCTCTGCAGAAATAAACAAGTAGAACAAACACCAAGAACAAACTCTTTTTTTTTTTTAGTGATTACTTTTAGTGAATTTTTATTGATTTTATTGAGCTCTACATTTTTCTCTGTTCCCCTCCCTGCCTCTCCCCACCCCTTTTCAACCATCCCACAAGGTCCCATGCTCCCAATTTACTCAGGAAATCTTGTCTTTTTCTACTTCCCATAAGATTACATCTATGTAAGTCTCTCTTAGGGTCCTCGTTGTTGTCTAAATTCTCAGGGATTGTGGTTTATGGGCTGTTTTACTTTGCTTTATGTTTAAAAACCACCTATGAGTGAATACATGTGATAATTGTCTTTCTGTGACTTGGTTACCTCACTCAAAATAATGTTTTCTAGCTCCATCCATTTTCCTGCAAAATTTAAGATGTTATTTTTTTCTGCTGTGTAGTACTCCATTGTATAAATGTACCACATTTTCATTATTCATTCTTCAGTCGAGGGGCATTTAGGTTGTTTCCAGGTTCTGGCTATGACAAACAAAGCTGCTATGAACATAGTTGAGCACATGTCCTTGTAGCATGATTGAGCATCCTTTGGATATATACCCAAAGTGGTATTACTGGGTCTTGAGGTAAGTTGTTTCCTAATTTTCTGAGAAATCGCCACACAGACATCCAAAGGGGCTGTACCAGCTTGCATTCCCACCAGCAATGCAGAAGTGGTCCCTTTCCCCACAACCTCTCCAGCATAAGTTGTCATCAGTGTTTTTGATCTTGGCCATTCTTATAAGTGTAAAATGGAATCTCAGAGACATTTTGATTTGCATTTCTCTGATGACTAAGGATGTTGAACATTTCCTTAAGTGTCTTTCAGCCATTTTAGATTCCTCTGTTAAGAGTTCTCTGTTTAGGTCTGTACTTCATTTTTTTTTGATTATGTGTTCTTTGATGGCCAATTTCTTGAGTTCTTTGTATATTTTGGAGATCAGACCTCTGTCTGATGTGGAGTTAGTGAAGAACTTTTCCCATTCTGTTGGCTGTCATTTTGTCTTATTAACCATGTCCTTTGCTTTACAGAAGCTTTTCAGCCTAGTTCCTGGGAAGTCCTAGACCCATGCCCCGACCCACAGGGGTCCTGTCTTAGGTCTACTCCCTTGAAGGTCCCAGTTTCATGTCCAGACTCTCAGTAGTCTCTGGCTCTGACTCACTCACTCAGAGGTTACTCCTCTAAAGAGCAAACTCTTAAGGACATGGTAGAGCCCAAATCAATTATTGGACTCAGCAGTTAAAAGTGCTTAGTGATCTTCCCAGGTTCAGTTCCCAGCACCCATATTGGATCACTCACAACTACCTAAACCCAGCTCCAGCCAATCCAAAGCCCTCTTCTGTCCTCCACTTGCATTTGTACATAACACACACACACACTCACACAAACACACTCATATACATACACTCGCACAAACACACTCATATACATACACTCGCACACACATAAATAAATAAACAAATAAATAAAA